CCCTTCAAGGGCTCCCAAGGCCGGAAACGCAGGTGGCTCCCGGGGTCCCAGCTGCTGTGAAATGCTTTAGGTTTGTCTGTGCCTTCCGGAAGAGCCGGGTTAGAGCCCCCGGAGCCGGCGTCGGCGTCGAGGACTGCCCGGGAGAGAGAAGGCGCGTTCTGCGACGCCGAGGTCTGGTGGATGGGCCAGAGTCACCGAAGATGGCTGGGAACGCCAGAGGGGAAGTGTCATACCAGCCAGTTGTTTGCAGTGATCTACCCATTTGTAAACCGTTTGCACTGTATACCCATTTGAAATACAATCCTGTTTGAAGTGTTACTTATTTAAAATACTATTAAGCTATGAACCAAAGTGATGCCCTCTTGGCTAAGGATATAAGCCAAGCCTCTTGGCCATGGACCAGTGTAACTCCGCCACAGACCAATAACTGCTTTTGAGGATAAGGTGTCCCACCTGGAACAACTGTCTATCACCGCATGACGTCAATGACCAAATGGGGAGGACAGAGATCACTTGATCTTTCAAATAGAAAGACGTTTAAGCCATCTCGAATGGCACAGAATCCTCCCAGTTTCTGAAAACCGTCAGAGAATGCCGTCCCTGCCAATCGCTGGCTTTGTTTCCTGTTTGTGGATAGCTGCTACTCTCCATTTCGAACTAACCAGGCTAAGCAAATCCGTCTTTAAGCAGATTTCCTCTGCGTTGGTCTCCAGGAGCTGCAGACTAGCTCGTGACCCAGCGTGCAACTTTACGAATGCGCCGGTGTGACTTTGGCTCCTGCCTTTTCCGGGCTCAACCTGAGCCTTATTAGTTTTTCAGGTTTTTGTGTAGGGCACTGTGCTCACTGGAGAGGGAGGGAAGGGAAGAATCACCCCCTGGGGGATGGCCACACTGCAGTCCCTTCTCCGTCCTCTCTGGATTGTGGGCACACATGCATATGGGCCTGGCGTGATTTTCAAGCTGCCTGGTCTGGGACCTGAACCATAGTCAGCCATGTGGGAATCCAGCAGCTTAACTACCATGGCATCTGCTGACTATTTATTTTTAAAGAATTATTTATTATTTTAAAAATTTGCTATAGGGCACATGGGCACATGAGAGAGAGACAGAAAGCCGCCAGGTCTAGGACTGGAACCGCAGTTGGCCTTAACCACCACGCCACCTGCTGGCCTAGGAGCTTTATTTTTAAGTACTGTTTCCTTCAACATTGTTTCACTGTTTTTCTTCCCAGCCCCAAGTTCTTTTTTGAAAAAAAAAAAAAAAATTTTTTTTTTGGAGAGGTTTTTGCTATAGGGTGCGTGCGCTCGCCAGAGACAGAGACAGAGAGACAGAAAGTGAGAAATCACTCCCCAGGGGGAATGGCCATGCCACAATCCCTTCTCCTTCATTCTCCTCTTGGGATCTTGGGCATGAATGCACACGTGCCTGGCGTGAGTTTAAAGCCACCAGGTCTGGGACACGAACCGCGGTCGACTACATGTGAGTCTAGCGACATAGCCATTACGCTAACTGCTGGTCCCTTTTTTGAAAAATTTTAAAACTTTTTTTTTTCGATAGGAGTCCCAAAAACCAGACGATTCCACTCGACCAGTCAAGCCAGCCATTTTCCACATGTGTTCCTGCCCAGGTCTGCGTCTTCAGTGCCGGCTGTGTCTACACTGCAGGGCTGTGCGGTCCGGCCTCGGTGTGCTGGCTGTCTGTATCTTGCCCTGCTCGCTCACTGCGGGACTCCCACGCACTACTCGTGTGCTTTCTAGCCCACTTTCTGGACGATGGACAGAAGGTTGTTTTGGACACGTACTCTTCCCAGGCACAGTGGTAGAAGTGTCCATGCAGTCTGCCCACCCCACTGTAGAGATGAGACTGAGGCTAGAGAAAGGCTAAAAACATACTGAAGAGCAGGTGTGTAGGGCGCGGTCAGCAGTGAGGAGCGACCATGGCCGTCTGACTCCAGTGTCAGCCCCAGCTTATCGGGAGTAAGCTCCGACCTACGTAGCAGCAGCCTAGGGGCACTGTCAGGATCCTGAGAAAGCCTGGGCCAGGGCTGGCAGGTTTAAAGAGCAAAATGCAGGACACCTACTTAAGTGGGAGTTTCACAACAAATGCTCTTTTTAGCATAAGTATGTCTCATGCAGTAATTGGTATATACTTATACAAAAATCATTGATTGTTTATCTGAAATTCACATTTGACTGGCCATCCCGTATTTTACCTGGGCAGCTTTCTAGAGAAGACACTGTAACTTTTCTACTGACTCATCAAAATGAGTTTTGGGTCAATTGAAACTCTCTCTGCCCTTTGGAGCGGAATTAGAGTGGTGCATGGATTCTGTAAAATAATCGATCCTTATAACACCCACCTAGAATTAGACCGTGTTTATAAATTAGTTTTACTTGGTCCTGTGCTGGGACAGACTTTCATCTGAATATATTTTTTTGGCGATCTTATGCTTTCTTTCTTTATATCACCCATCCTACTATTAGCTATTGCTAAATTTCACTTTAACAAGAAGTAAATACAAAGACTAATTTTATTTAGCAAGACTGAAGATAAAACCAACACGTAAATTCGCATGAGACCTTTAGTGTTGTCCAAAGCAACTCCTCCAGTTATCAACCTGAGGCAGTTAGTCAGCAAGAACATTTGCAGAATGATTAGTGGGAGGAGGATCTCTTCTCAGCCACGGAGGGGGTCACTGAGCCCTGGCGGCTCTTGGGAAGTGGAGCCTGACCTCACTCTCCAGCCTACACCGAAGCAGAAATGAGAAGGAGCAGAAATGCCGACACTGAGTGCGTGGCGCTCTCCTCTTTCAGTGAAACAACGAAAACAGCGGCCAGAACCCGACTGGCCAGAATCAAAGAAATAGCGTGTAAGGTGACAGACTTAGTGCAGCCACTCCCAGGTCGTGATGACCCTCAAGCTTAAATAGAAAAGCCAGGAAACAGGATTGCGTGCTGCTCCCCATCTCTTTAGTAGCGGTTATGGGTTGGGAGGTACACGGGCCCACAGACTCGGCCACGAGGGCGTATGAGACATCTTTGGGGGTGAGAATCAATACATTATTCTCAGTGAGCCATTCCCTCAACATGACTATGGTCCCTCCAGCTCTACATTATTTTAGTTACATAAAAATGATGAACAAACGTCAGCTTCCTTGCAAACATTTTGTCCTTGTTCTTAAAAAAGTGGTTATAAAGAGTACGGAATAGGAATCACTTCTGCAAAGTTTAATGAGTGAGAAACATTCAACCAAGGTGACTTCTTGGAAAATCCTACAAAAACTGAATTTTATAAAGTTATTTTGATAGAAACCCCACTTGTAAATGGCAGCCATTACTTCACTGCCCACAGAATTGTAGGCCGTCACATTTGACATGTTTAGAGTTCAAAAGTTTTGGGATCAGGTTTTCTAGTGTTATGAAAACAAAGTCACGCACAGGCAGACTAGTGGTCCCAGGCTAAGGGGACAGCAGCGTCCATGGTTTCTCTGCTCAGACAGGTACAGACGGCCACTAGACTTGGGCTCATGGGTTTGACAACATTCATGTTTTCTGTTTAAAGAGGAGGTGATGGGAATGGAGGGGCAGATGCGGCGGAGCTTTACTGAGGGGCTTTGCGCTCCAGGGACCGGCTGTCGCAGGGCATTAGTACCAGAGAGGCCTTCAAGAAAGAGCCTGAGCACCGTGTGCTATTCGAGAGGCCGAGACAGCCCCGCTCCTGATCCCAGCGCAGAGGAGCATTTCTGAGGCCTGGGGGGCATCTCAGAGCAGGAGGGGCAGACAGGTGTGTGACCAGGGGGTGCCGGCGTCGTGTTGTCCTAACGAGTGACTCAGAGCATTGGAACGAAAAGATGAACGCATTTTAGTATGGAAGCTCTGCTGGTCCCGGGAGGCCCAGCGCCTTCTCAAGGACTCAGCCCTCAGTGTCCCTCACCTCTAGGAGCGTTTGCTGCTTACACAAAATGTGACCAGGACCGTTCTTTGTGGGATCTGAGTCCCAGGAATTAGGACAGCAGGGCGCTGTGTGAAGTGAGGGGGGCGGACACTCTGCTTCTTTCCAGGCAGGCTGAACAAGCCCCAAACTCCTGACCAGGCTGGTGCCACTCAGAGCAGGCCAGGCGGAGTCCTGGGACCACCAAGAAACCAGAAGTTGAGGTGGGGGACCAGATATGAAAGAGGGGCTCACTCACTGCACCGAGCCAGGGAAGAGGGGCCAAGCCCTAGCCCAGAGCTGGTCAGTGGAGGTCAGTGCACCCCTAGTCTGCTCCAGACGACCGGCCTCCACAGCATGGCTCTGTCCGTGCACAACTCGTGGGCCCCAGGCCTGGGCCTCCTCTTCTCATGAAATCCCCGTGTCAGGATTTCGTAAGAAAAACCTTCCTTTCCTGTTTGCTCTCCCAGGGACTCAGATTCTTTCCTGACTACAACGAGGAAACATTCCCGGGACTGACATGGCTGCTCCAGCCCAGGACTTGGGTGAGGACGGTGCTCTCTGGAGACGGACATTCAGCCTGCCCTGTGTGCCCTGGAGAGTGGCGTCCCCTTACCGCTGCGTCGGCCAGCTCGCGGTGCCAGCCACAGGCACGGAGACCAGGGGGCGATCCTGCTTGCTCCTCCCGGCCCCTCCAAAACACGGCCTCAAGGCAGCCTCTGCCCAGCAGGGACAGCGGTCCCCCATCAGCGGTGACACTCGTACCGCTTGTTCCTGCCTGCTTGATGCTGAGTGACGCCAAAGAACAGATGGTCTGAAAAGAAAAGGCCCGGTGAGAGAGTAGCAGGGCGGGGTCAAAGGAACTGTGTGGAGGCCACGACCTGCCTGGCCCTGGCCCTGGTCGGGTGCTCCGCCTGAGCCCGGGGCAAGCGGCCCGGTGTGACAGTGTCTTGTGAAACCGAGCACCATGTCTGCACGTGAAGGCAGGGAGCCTGTGGGAACTCGCACGGGCACCTTCCACGTGCTGGGCTAGCTGTTGCCCTACGTGCTGTCCCCACGCGCTCTCAGCCCTGCACGGATGTACCCCTGCGTGCCGTAGAGCCTCCTCAGGGACAACCCCAGCTGGGGGGTCTGGGGCGGGGGCAGTGCCTTTCCACTCCTCCCACTTGAGTGACAGCAGCCAGCTTGGAGGGACAGTAGTGCCTGGAGGTCAAAGGTCAAATCTCAGAAGTCCTGTAGTCTACTCACTGAATAAAACCCCAGATCATCAGTCCCCGCCCTTCTTCCTAGAAGGGTGGGGATGGAAGTCCACTTCTTCCACCACAGTAACTGCTGGCTGGGAGCCCTCAGTGCTCCTCGGCGGCTGCAGCAGGCTCTGCGGGCTCATCCTCTATGCTGAGGCTCAGCTTGTCGGCCTGCCCCTCGAACTGCCTGCCCAGGCCACCCGCTGAGTCCACAAACATGTCGGGGATGTCTTTGCCGAAGTAGATCTTGCTGTTGGAGGCGATGGCCTTGTACTTCATCAGCTGCAGGTACTCGGGGGTCAGCTTCAGCTGCAAGACAAGGCCCGGAAGGTGTGGGCCCGCTGTCGGACCTGCACCCTACGGTTCCTGCAGTTCTCACAGGGAGGGGGCTCTGTCACAGAGTATCCCCCGATGGGCTGTCACATGAGTAACAGGGCAGCCGTTTCTCTAAGAGGAAGTAACCTCAGATTTGCCAGAAGGGCGGCAGGAATTCTACGAGTTTCTGTGTCTGTCAAACATGATGAAGGGCCCAGGACAAGGGAAGGACCTGCCCCACGGCGCAGGCGTCCCCGGCCTGGCCCTCAGGGCTGCTGGGTGGTCGTGGTGGCCATTCGGCTCGAGCAGCGGAAGCCCAGACCCGGCCCGGTTCCCAGGCGTGGCCCACCTTGTTGGCCTCGGCGATCTTCATGGCGGTGTAGCACTCGGCGTCCGCCCTGGCCTTCTCCCGCGCCAGGAACGCAGCATCTGGGGAAGGGAGAGCGTGGTGAGCTGGGCCAGCCCTGCAGGGAGCCAGGCCGTCTGGGCCCCGTCTCTGTCCCCAGCTGCCCGTCACTAGGAGGGATGGCTTGTTTTCTGTGCTTTAGTTTCTTCCCCATGAAACTGGGAGCAGGGCATTTCCTGTTCCTCTTGGATAAGCTGCTGTAAGGGCCGCTCCGATGGAAAGCGCTTTGAGAGCGACTCCCCACGACGGGGACGAGCTCTGAGCAAGTCTGCTGCTGTGCCAGACTGCAGGGGAAAAGCTGGGGCCGGACGGTGAGCTGGCGAAGGTGGCTGGGCCCACATGGCTGCTTGCGCAGTTTGAGTCCTGGACCTGGTGGCTTGAGAAACATGCCAGGCGCGTGTGCGTGCGTGCCCCAAGTCCCGAGAGGAGAAGGGATTTGTGGCGTAGCCGTCCCCGCACGGGGTCTTTCTCACCTCCCCTGTGCCTCTCTCCAGTGAGCGTGTGTGTGCTCTACAGCAAACCAGAACAGAACTGGACAGAGCTAAAGAAGACGGGCACCCTGACAGGGCCTCGTGACCTGCGACCCGTCCCCAGCGTTCCAGCTCTCCGGGGTCTTGGGTGTGCGCACCCAGTATATTTTCAGCTCAACAGGGGATGGGAACTTGGGGTTGGCCATGTGGCTTCCGGTGCCACAGACCTCCCCTTTGTCTCTCTCCAGTGAGCGTGTGTGCGCTCTACAGCACACCAGAACAGAACTGGACAGAACAGAAGACGGGCACCCTGACAGGGTCTCGTGACCTGCTACCCGCCCCCAGCGTTCCAGCTCTCCGGGATCTTGGGTGTGCACACCCAGTATATTTTCAGCTCAACAGGGGATGGGAACTTGGGGTTGGCCATGTGGCTTCCGGTGCCACAGCTGGCACACTGCTGCCTGCACCACCAGGCCAGCCTAACCTGCCTCGTCCTTGTGCCCAGCACAATGCCCGGCACGTGCGGCACTCGGTCGACATCCCGTGGATGCGTGCTCCCCAGAGACACTGCCCTGGCCTGCCCACAGGCCTGGACCCTAAGTGCTGAGAAAAGCTGATGTTTTCAGAGGGACCCTGACATCGCGCACAGAGAGAGGACATGGCTGTCCCACCCCTGTGCCACTGCGTGGGGTCTGAGGGTGCCCAGGCCCGGTGCTCCTGCTCACCTTCGATTTCTGAAATCTTCTTCTCGGTCTCCTTCTCCATCACCTTCTGGCCGTAGGTGATCTCTGCGACCTGAGCCACCTTCTCCGCCTCTGTGCAGGTGAAGCAGACTCAGACCCCGACAGCTCAGCTTGCCTGGCCTCACCGCCCATGACCGGGCGGAGACTCAGAGCCTGACAGCTCAGCTGTGCCTGGCCTCACCACCCATGACCGGGCGGAGACTCAGAGCCTGACAGCTTAGCTGTGCAGGTGAAGCAGACTCAGAGCCCGACAGCTCAGCTTGCCTGGTCTCACCGCCCATGACCGGCGCCCCGATGCAGGACAGTGGGGGAGCTCACATGTGGGGCTGCCACCCTGAGGGCACCCCGTGGGTGAGCGCAGAGCCACCATCACGCGAGGCAGTACCTGGGGAGACCCAGGCCCTCCTGAGGACGCCCCAACTCTCCAGTCACAGGGTCCTTCTCCCAAGGAGTGACCTCCGGAGCGAGGTGCGTGCACAGGTTTCGGGCGCCCCTCCTCTCAAGAGGTGGTAGGCTGTTGCTGATGGCTTGGGGTGGCGACTCTGGAGCAGAGCCTGATGGGAAGCCAGCCCCACCACTTGCCATGGAGCTCGGACACATGATGAACCTCTCTGAGCAGCGGCTCCATCAGCCGAGGTGAGCAAGCCCCCCTGCCCCGAGGGCAAGGACCGCGGTACTTATCTACCCCAGCCGCTACTGCTAGGTGCTGACGACCGCTAGAAAGGGCTCCTCTCACCGACGGGCCTGTGGACACACGGCTTGGACCCTGCCACCACCTGACAACTTCCACTCTGCCCGCAGGAGGGTGCGGCCAGCCAGCGTCCCATGGAAAGGCCCCCAGGTCAGGTCTGGAGACCACCCTGGGGAGTGGCGGAAGTGCTCGGGGGATTGGGTGGTTGGGCCACACCTGGGCCTTCCTGGTCTCCTGCCACCCCCAGCCCTGCAGCCCAAGGGCAGCAAGCACGTGCAGACCAATGAGGGCCTTCTTCCGCTCTGTCTCGGCCTCCTTCTCCACCACCTTCTGTTTCTGGGCCGCGATAAGGAGCTTTGTCTTCTCGCTTTCCCTGCAGGCAGAAGGAGCAGTGGTGAGACCACAAGGAGGTTTCTGGAGGTGCCGCTGCCCCGAGCCCAGGCTCTCCTGCAGCTGCTGTCTCCCAGGGGCCGTCCAGTGGCCTGCAAAGTGCTCAGGTGCAGTCACGTGCTCTTCTCCTTTGTGGGAAATAACCCATGGTTTTTTCAGTTTTTTGCTATAGGGTGCACACACTTACCAGAGACAGAGACAGAGAGGAGGAAAGTAAGAAATCACCTCCTTGGGGGATGGTCACATTGCAATCTCTTCTCCATTCTCCTCTCAAGATTTTGGGTGAGGGGCCAGCAGATGGCATGATGGTTAAGGTGCTGGACACTCCCACATGGCAGACTGTGGTTTGAGGTGGTTAAGACACTGAACACTCCCACATGGCAGACTGTGGTTTGAGTCCCGGACCTGGTGGCCTGCTTCCTCACTTTCCCCCTCTATCTCTCTGATCAAATTTAAAAAAAAAAAGAAAGAAAAAAGAAGAAAGAAAAAATAAAAATAAATAAATAAATAAAAAGAGATTTTGAGTGCACACCATATGCATCCAGCATGATTTTTAAGTTGCCAGGTCCAGGACCCAAACTGTGGTCAGCCATGTGGGAGTCCAGTGCCTTAACCTCCATGTTACCTGCTGGCCCCAACAACCATGATTTATCCTAGTAAAATACACCTGCCTGTCTTCCACTTCCTCCTCACTCTCTCCACCTTTGGCATGAGCCTCTCAACACTGATGAGGCCTTCCAGCTCTTTCAAGGTATCCCTGCTCTGAGGGCTCTGCGGGGCTCCAGGGCACAGCCAAGGAGCCTGGTGACTACCCCGAAACACCCACCCACTCGTGCGGCACTACGGGCTGTCATGCGTCCTTGGGAGAACCTGGGACCACGCTAGCCAACTTCCAGACGGGATGTGGGGGCAGGAGGGCGGTGGGCATGGCTCAGGCACAGGGAGGGTGGTGGGCATGGCTCGGGCACAGGGAACCCACTCACATCAGCTCGTAGTTCCTGCGGATTGCCTCAGGGATGTTGGGCTTCGTCACCCGCACAGCCTGGAGAAGGACAGAGACGGCAACTGACAGGGAGGCGAGGGTGGTAAGTGGCACGAGCAGCTCCCCGGCTCTAGATCCTCCTGTACAGAAAGGCCATCCTCGGAGGAGGGGACGCGGTGTCAGGGGCGCCCTCTCGCTGTGCCACGCTTACCTGGATGACAAGCCCAGGGGCCATGGAGGTCAGGTCCTGTTGCAAAGCCAGTTTGAGGTTTTCATCAATCTGATCTGGAACCGAGGAAGACAGTGAGAGGAGCTGGTGAGCCCAGCCGGGGGTGCAGTCTGCATGGGGGAGCACCAGCTCAGGGACGCACCTCACAGGCACCAGGCTTTCCGAGGCACCGAGTGTGTCCAGGGCCAGAGACCAGAGCCCTGCATGTTCACTGAAGCAGGGGTCTCCTCTGGCTGTGGCCTCAAGACCAACTTGGCTTTGTGGTGAGACTACCTGGCTTGTGCTGCAGGGTACCGGGGTACCTTCTTGTTGCCAGAGGGCATGCGTGCTCACGAGACAGAGACAGAGACCACCCCCAAGGGAGTGTGGTCACCTCGCGATCCTTTCTCCTTCACTCCTCCATCCTGTCAGGATCTGGGGCATGCACGCACCTGTGCCTAGCATGTTTCTCAAGACACTAGGGTCAGGATCTGAATGGCTGCCAACCAGAGGGGATCTGGCTCCCAATGCAGAGAGCGTAACCACTAGGGGCCGGCAGGTGACGCGGTGGTTAAAGGTGCTGACTCCCACACGGCTGACAACAGTTTGAGTCCTGGACTTGGAGGCTGGCTTGCTTGCTTTCTCTCTCTCTCTCTGGTCCAAATTGAAAAATGATAATTAAAAAAAAAAATAAAAAGAACTTACGTCCTATGATAGAGGCTGGCCCAGCAGGGGTACTGAGCCTCTGCGAGGCAACACCACGTGAGGAGGTGTTGGCTTCAGGTCTGGAGACCACCCTGAGTGTGCCTGGCATGCACCTGCTCAAGACCCGGAAGGCCGAGGGCTGGGGGTGGACCGTGACTCCAAGACCCTTTTAAGGGCATGCTCTCATTCTCAGAGGAAGTGCATGAATGAAGCAGAGTGACTATGGCTCTAGCACATCCCCCGAGGCGGCAGAAGCCCTTCCGTAGACAACCACAGGCTCTCTGCTCCCGAGGGAACCAGGCCAGGCTGTGTTCCGGCACAGAAAGAGCTGAGCGCACTCAATCCTGTCACCTCAGAAGCTGCCGAACCCTGGTGTCAAGGACAGCCCCCCCCCCCCAGCCCTATGAGGACCTCCGTCAAACAGCACGAGGGGGCATTTGATGCGCAGCTCTGGACATAAGCCTGTCTTCAGAAGTGCTGTCTGCCTGGTGGGGACCCCTCCGTCTGGATCTCACGGGAGTTGTTTCCCAGACAAGTGCAGGAGCAGCAACGACAGCGCCCGCCAGCCAGGACTCAGAGCTGCAGCCGCTGGCGGCCTCAGGCCTGGACCTCCTCAGGGTTATGACCCTTCCCTGCCCTCTCCCCTCCAGATTCTCGAGAAGCTCCTGGAAGGGCTTGGAGAAGCTCCCAGGAAACCAGGCTGGGACCTGGAAACAATCACCTCCCTTACCCTTGGCTGTCATCTGCTTTTAGTGGCATTTCTTGGTGACCTGTGCCCAAGTGAGAGCCTCTTCAGAACGGCAAGTCCCTTCCTTTTTAAAGAATTATTTGATTTATTGTCATTACTTATTTGCAGATAGGGCACATGTGCTCACCAGAGAGAGACAAAGAGAGAGAGTGCCACCAGGTCAGGGACTCAAACCATGGTTGGCCTGTGGGAGTCCAGTGCCTTAACCACCATGCCACCTGCTGGTGCCAGGCTGTGGCTGTTCGGATTTCTTCAATGTCCCGCAGTGACAAGGGCCCGTGGCGTTTCCACGGCTGCATCTGCGCTCACAGCCTCTCCACAGCAGCGAGGGAGGACACCACACTCCTGCTAACAGGCTGAGCCCCAACCCTGGACGCAGCACTGCATTTCGGGTGGCACGTGAAATGGAGTACTAGCCAGCCTTTCAGAGAGAGGGCCCACACCAAACTAGACCTGAGGCGAGGGGCGGACCTGTGGCCTGGCAAGTATCTTACTGGAACGTCTGGAAGAAATATTTTCTTCTTCTAACTGCCAGTGGTACGTGTGCTTGCCAGAGAAAGAGAGAGAGAGAGAGAGAGAGACAGACAGACAGAATGTACCTCCCTGTGGCAGGGCCATGCCACCATCCTCTGCTCCTCCATTTCTGCATCTCATTAGGATTTAGGGCATGCACTTGGTGCGTTCAAGCCATACCAGGATTCAAGCCACGGTCAGCCATGTGGGATCTGGCTCCCAATGCCCAGGGCTTAACTGCTGTGCAAATGGGCTGACCCACACACGGAGATCTGTCCTGCGGGAGTCTCAGCAACGCCAGAATGCTGCTCGTTATAATGCTGCTGCAGAATGCCGACACGCTCCATCACTGAGCCAACACAGAGGGGCTCAGGCCCACTTTCCCACAGGCGTGCCGCAGCGTCTTTAGGAGACAGCACAGGGCCGCATGGAACACACCATCGCATTGCCGCATTTCTGGTGGGGCTGGGAGGAGGGAGCACAACCAGACGTGTGTCTGTCCTCTGCAGGTACAGACAGAGAGTGAGAGACAGGGCTGGCTAGCAAGGTGAGAGTCAGACAAACGCCCCAGGGCAGATGCATCTGCAGTCCCTCCAGCAGGAAGCCACACTGTGCTAAGCTACCTTATCTGCGAGGCAGCCAGACAAAACGATTTAGTATTTTAATTTCCTCTTCAGTGACATTAGAATCCTTTGTCTTTCGTTGTTTCAAATGCTTTGAAATGTTCATTTAAAAGAAAGCACAAGTTCTAAAATGATGGCTAGAGAGAAAATGAATATTTTATAAAATTCTATTAGTTTGAGGTTAAAAAAAAGATTTACCAACTCTTTTTCTTAGACACACTGATTCTAAAACCAACAAAAGAATATAAGCCCTATAGAATTAATTCAGGTAAATTTTCTTTTTCTTTTTTATTGCAAGAGGGCGCATGCGCTCCCCAAAGAAAGAGACAGAGAGGAAAGAGGGAGAGGAGAGAGGGAGCAAAGAGAGGGAGAATGCTGCATGATCACTTCCAATGGTGAGTGGTCACGCAGCAATCCCTTCTCTACTTTTCCTTTCTTTAAGATTTGGGCGAGGGATGGGAAGCAGCAGTTAGCCTAATGGCTATGTCGCTGGACTCCCACGTAGTTAGTCGACCACGGTTCGCGTCCCGGATCCGGTGGCTTAAAATTCACGCCGGGCACGTGTGCGTGCGTGCCCAAGATCCCAAGAGGAGAATGGAGGAGAAGGGATTGCGGCGTGACCATTCCCCCTGGGGGGTGATTTCTCTCTGTCTCTCTCTGTCTGTGGAGAGCGCGCACGCGCCCTATAGCGAAAATCTCTCTAAAAAAAAAAGAAAAAAGATTTGGGCGAGGGCCAACAGGTGCCATAGTGGTTAAGGCATTGGACACCCACACAGCCGTCTGTGGTTTAAGCCCACAACCCGGTAGTTTGAAACTCATGCCGTGTACAGGTGTGTGAACACCCAAAATCTCAAGGGGAGAATGGAGAAGGGATTGCAGTGTGGCCATTCCCCCGGGGGGTGATTTCTCGCCTTTTGGCTCTGAGGTAACTGCACGCACCCTATAGCAAAAATCTCTCTTAAAAAAAAATAAATAAAAAAGAAAAAAAAAAAGAAAAAAAAAGAAAAGGAAAGAAACCCTGCCCTTGTGCTGGGTCTTTTTTTTTTTTTTTAAGATTTTGCCATGGGTGCATGTGCTCACTGGAGAGACAGAGTCAGAGAGAGTGAGAAAGTGAGAAGTCGCCCCTTGGGAGATGGCCACACTGCAATCCCTTCTCCTCCGTTCTCCTCTCAGGACTTTGGGCACGCACAGATACACGCACAGCATGTTTTTCAAATCACTGGATACAGAACCTGAACCGTGGAGCTGGCCACGTGGCAGCCAGTGCCTCAACCTCCATGCCACCTGCTGGGCCCCTGCAAGGTGCTTTAATGAGGATTCCTGGGAAAATAACTGCCTGGTCTTCGTAGCAGGAAGAGCTGTACCGACGGCTGAGACACTCACTCACTGCTAGCTGCAGCTACCAACATCCCTAGTGGCAAGCTGGAACCCAACACTTGGCCACAAAAGGGCCAGAACCATTACTGAAATGCGTCCCTTCCTGCCGAAGCTGACGTGCTTAGCTCGGGTGAGAAGGGTGAGGGGTGGGAGGGCGCGTGGGCCCTCTGTTCGGTAGAGTCTTCCTCGTCATCTCCAAGTATGAGGCAAAAAATCACCAAGGTGCCAGGAACCACAGGGCGCTGTGGTCTGTCCTCACGTCCAGAACAGCCGTGAGCCACGCCATGTCCACACCCTTTCCTGGGTGCCCTCCTCGTCAGGGGTGGTGTGCCAGGAACCACGGAGTGCTGTGGTTTGACCTCACCTCTAGAATGGCCGTGAGCCACGCCATGTCCGCACCCTTTCCTGGGTGCCCTCCTCGCCAGGGGTGGTGTGCCAGGAACCACGGAGCGCTGTGGTCTGACCTCACCTCTAGAATGGCTGTGAGCCACGCCATGTCCGCACCCTTTCCTGGGTGCCTTCCTCGCTGGGGGTGGTGTGGTGGGAAGAACTGAAGGGAAGCCACGAGGGAAGCCTGGGCTTCCACCCCTACCCACCGGGCACGAGCTCTGCAACTTTCTCGCTCTGGGCCTTCAGCATGGCCTTAAACTGAGGATGTGGGGCTGGAGTCTCAGCGACTCTTCTGGCGCTGACCCTGCCCTCACTATAGCACGGTGCCTCAGTGACAGCGGGAACACTCCTACCCCAGCACTGATGGGCCGATGGGAGTCCTAGTCCCCTGCTCCTCCTCCCCGGCCTGCCCCGAGGCTCTTCCTCCTTGTCTTCTGCAGTCCCAGCACCTCCCTCTGTGCCGACTCCCAGTCCTGGAGGTCCCCAGCCACGTGGGGGCCCAGGGGCAGTGGGGAAGGACCGCTCGGGCGTGCACAGTCGAGAGAGCCCTCACCGAAAAGCTCGATGTAGACCTCCTGGAGCGTGTGCACGCTGCAGAACTGGTTCAGCTCGTGGTGGATCTTGTTGAAGATGAGCGCCTTGTCGTAGTCGGCCGTGTAGTTCTTTACGATGTCGTACACTGGGCGGGAGGGGGGCCATGAGCAGGGCGTGGCTTGGACCTTTCCCACACGCAGTGGCTCTGCCTTCCCGAGGGGCCAGGCAGACTCGGGGTGGCATGCCGGGGGTGGCCCGTGGGGGAGACGCACCTGCGTTTGGGACCAGGAAGTTCACCACTTCGATTCTGTCAAAGTAGATCATCACACCACCGCTGCGAAAGGACGAAGGACAGAGAAGTCACTGGGGAGCTCTGTGGTCCCCAAGGTGTGGCTGAAGATGTGGGAGGTGCCAAGAGGAGGTCATAGGGGCGAGAAGGCACCTCGGATCTCTAAGAGAGACCTGCAGAGCTTATGGCAGCGACACGATCGCCAGAGAAATCACACCCTAAACATATCCCCACGAGGAGACCGTTAGGCTCCTGGGCGCAGTCAGAAAAGAGCCGCTCTCGCTGCCTCAGCAGAGCCCCACCCAGCGACCAGCACCCAGTGATGGCAGCCACAGCGAAGACCAGACCAGACCAGACTGAGGGCGACTCGCTCAGCCCTGCCCAGTCCCGTGGGTGGCCAGTGTGTCTCACTGTGTCTTCACCATCGCTTTAGCTCAGCGCCCCTTTCCCCGCAGAACCCATCATAAAAAATTTCAGACACACAGAAAAGCTGGAAAAATAGTACACCACCACCCACCAGCACCTCATTCCACATGGATGATGGTTACCTTTTTCACTGATCTACTTTTTTGGCCGAACATTTTAAAGTAAGTTGCAGGCATATTTTAAATTGGTAATTTACAGAAGAAAATGAGTAATTCCCAACATTATCTAATACCCAGTCCTCGTCCCAGTTCCCAGTCCTGCCTGCTATGGGATAAACTGTGTCCCCCTCTCGAATTCACGTGTTGGTCCTAACCCCAAAATGACTGCCTTTGGAATGAGGCCTTTGAGGTGACTGGGTGACTCGTGTCGCAGGGTGGGCCGGTCATCAGGACCGTGTCCGCACGGGAAGGGGAGGACACAGGCCATCACGCTCGCGCGTCTCGCATGCAGAGGGGAGGTCAGGAGACCGTGGTGGGAAGGGGCCCTGAGAGCCAGGAAGAGGGCTCCCCGGGGACCAGCCCTGCGGCACCCGACCCTACACTCGGAGCCTCCGGACCTGGGAGAGAAGAAATGCACTGTCTCCGCCCCCGGCTGCGGTACTCTGTTACGGCGGCCCGAGGGATGGATACTGTTCCCGTCACTCGTTTCACAGCGGCTGTGTCAGAACCAGGTACTAGTCAAGGGGCCGTTACACTTGTGGACGTCTCTCTGAAGTCTCGTTTCAAGTCAGCGCCCCTCCAAATGCGATGAAGGACCTCGGGGAGCGAACGGGCCAGTCACCTTGTGGCAGGTGGCAGTTCCTGGCTTGTCAGAGGGTCTCTTTAGTCTGGACCCCTTGCTCTTCGACTGGACCTCTACTATAGTGTTCTCTTTGGACCCGTGGCTGAAGACCTCCTGAAAGCTCCGGAGTCAGCTATGCTGAAGCCATCTTCCTGTCCGTGTCACTGGCCCACTCAGCTGCTGCTGCGTCCTCGCCTCTCACAGGGGCCTGGCATTTCAGCCCTCCCAAACCTGCTAGGGTTTGCTCTGCTGTACTCCACCCCCTGGTCAGCTCAGATATCAGGAGCTCAGGGTCAGGGCACCTGGTAAGTTTACCAAGACGGAGCCTCTTCCGCAGGCCCCTGCAGCCAGCCAGCCTGCCCCTCGTCTTACCCACTTGGCTGTCAGCTTTATTCCGGGCCCTTACCTGGTCCCACAAGGCACGTTCTTCACCTCGTCTGTCTGGAGTGTGGTCTGGAAGCAGAGGAAATACAAGATGCTCTAAGACGGATGTGCCAGATGAACTTTCTGGAACCCTGTATGCCCTTGTCCTTGAACGACTGGCTGAGCTTCATGTTAAACATGAACGTCCCACCCGTCCGGCCTCCTCACAGGGCGTGACTCTAAGCCGAGCAAAGGCACCTCCCCAGTTTGCAGCACACGGCCCCCACATAGACAGCTGGTCAGGAAGCTTAGCGAGAAGACCTGGCCTAGGCGTCTGGGCGCGTGTCTAGCTCGACCCCGTGTATTTACTGGTCTCGGAGCGGCAGGCTCGTTTGGTATTTCAGGCCGTGATGTGTGCTCAGCCGTGCTCAGGGTTATGAGACTGGAGTGAGAACGCCTCTGAATGCACTTTGAGTCATGAACACAGTAAACAGCAGAAGAAACTTACAGGGAAAACACCCGTGAGGTACCCCAGGACAGCTCTGTGGGTCAGTTGAAAAGGAACCTTCGAAATGTTTTTATTCTTAGCTGTACAGACTTCGGAGACGGCTCGCCTAACCTCGCCAGGCTTTAGGTTGGTCACAATGAGCTCGCTCCTGTGTGAGATGACATTTTTCCTCATCCAGTTCAACTTCCTTCCCCACACCCTGAATTATGTTCACATTTCTGCAGGTCAAATCGGAACCGGCCAATGCCCATCTGTCATGGTAGCCTTGGTCTAAAACACACAGACGCCCAGCGGCTCCTCCTGCACATTCAGAACACTGCTGGCCTTGGCTGGAGGTGAAGAAGCAATTCCCAGCTGAGGCTGATGGGCCAAGGTGTGACCCCATCCAGCTGTGTCAACAGTCAAGTAACACTCGCAAGCAAACGGCCCAGGAGCCTCATTCTCACATGCACACACATGCACACACAGCCCCAAACACAAATCCCTAAGCCAGTCCTGGAGAGGTGTTTCGCTCACCCCGTGGCTGAATGACCCCAGCTCATGCCTGCCGGCAGCCCACTGGCAGCTGCCCGGCCAGCTCGCACAGCCCAGCGTACCTGGACCGACTTGTATGACGTGATGAAAGGGAGCATGAGGTGGAAGCCAGGGCCGCTGGTGGAAGTCAGGAGGGCGCCGCCCCTGCAGAGGGAGAGAGGCAGGCTGGGCTCAGCGGGGCTGTCAGAGCAGTGCCCACGGGCCGGCGCCCTTTACAGCCCCGTGAACAGTGGCTGGAGGAGGACAAGGGCACAGCTCCCTTTCTCCCTCTCAGTGTGACCCTGGCATTCTTTTTTTTGGGAGAGGTTTTTGCCATAGGGCGCATGCGCTCACCAGAAAGACAGAGACAGAAAGCAAGAAATCACCCCCCCCAGGGAGATGGCCACACTGCAATCCCTTCTCCTCCCTTCTCCTCTCAGGATCTTGGGCATGCACGCACATGTGTCTAGCGTGAGTTTAAGCCACCGGGTCTGGGACGTGAACCGTGGTCGACTACATGGGAGTCTGTGACATAGCCATTACGCCAACTGCTGGTCCCAAGGACCCTGATGTTCTAGCAAACATGATGGTAAAAGAGAGCCATCACTCACACCGTTGCCATGGGAGAGCAGGCACAGGCCAAGGGGAGCAAAGAGCAGCACCCTGGCTGTGCTGGGAGGGACAGGACACGGTTCACCCTGCCCTACCTATGGGGCTCGTGGGACCTCCGTGGCAGCCCAGTTGGTTAGGAGGTCACCAATAACTGCACTCATGTTGGAGTCGTCACGTGACCAACCCAATTTTAAGCACACTTTACAAGTCATTTCAATATATTTCAGGGGCAGCAGCGCTACCCTTTTAACCAAGTTGTAAATAAATGACAAAATTAAAAGCTTTTTGTAGGAACACGTAAGCAGATGATGGAGTGAGAGACTTCAAAGTGAGGAGGAAGCCCAAGTTCTAGAACTTGATTTTGGCAGCTCAGAAATAAGCACTGAAGGGTCCGTGGAAGAAAGGGCTGACAAAGACTGACAGGCAAACACCTGGTTGTGCAGGTCCCTAAACGAAAAGCCAAGACTGGGGCTGGCAGGTGGCGTGGTGGTTAAGGGTGCTGGACTCCCACATGGCCGACCATGGTTTGAGTCCAGACCTGGCAGCTTGCTTTCTCACTTTCTATCTCACTCTGTTCCTCTGTGGTCAAATAAAATAAACAAAGTTCAATAAAATAATTATTAAACCGCCCCCACCCCAAATTTACAAGTGTTCCTTTCCTTTATATTGTGAAGTCAAAGACCATGTAATGATAATTCTAAAAAAGCAATACAACAATCAGTGACATTAATGAGCTCCTTTACTGGAAAAAAAATCACTACCCTAAGTCTTGCCTTGATTGATATAAATTATCATGCAGGTTCATTATTTAATTTCATTTATTAGTACTATTTTTTAATGTGCAATATGGCATGCATGCTCACCAGAGAGAGAAAGTGAGAAAACAAGCTGCCAAATCCAGGACTCGAACCATGATTGGCCATGTGGGAGTCTAGCGTCCTAATCACCAAGCCACCTGCTGGTCCCTGAAGGTTAATTTTAGGAGTATCCCAAATTAGCAGAGTAAACTACTTCTCCCAGTGCCAAGAGGAACTATGACTTCCTGGCTTTTGAATAGCCTCAGAGCCAAGACTCCCAGAGGGACGTAGAAAACAGTACTTCCGGGCCGGGCTGCAAGCGCTGGTTTCCTTTAGGATTTATCTCTCAATGTCCGTGAATATTACGTGGATCCCTGACCATCTCAGAAGGCTAAGGGAAGCCTTGAATTTACATTAGATGGTCTGCGCGCCTGCATGTGTACACACAGGAAGGGACTTGAAAATTCGTGGGAAAAAATTGAAGTACGAATTTTATTTTGTGCAGAAAATAGAAATCCTTGCAAAGCTTTTTCATCAAACATATTTTCCATGAGATACTCTGTGTATCCCCTTCCCCATGTCACTGACAGAAGAGTTGGGTCTAAAGAGAACGCCAACTTCACAAAACAGAAACGCGGACACTCAGCAGGCTCGGTAGGCAGCGCCGAGGAAGCAGCTGTGGAACAGGAAGCAGCTCCCACGTCTCTGCCTTACCTGTAATACACCCCGATGTGGCCCTCTTCTATCTTGTGCACAGCGGAGAAGAGAGAAGCACAAAAGAAACTGGAAGCCACCGCCACAACTGCTCCCAGCTGAGCCATCAGTGAGCCTCTGCCTGGGGAAAGACACAGGAAAACGTGTGGTCTGTCATGTGGCCGCAGGAGACCGAGCGGGGAGAGGAATCAGCTCGCCTGGGCAGCGGGAACAGGCTAGACCTTCAACCCGCTTCATCCTGTTCTCAGCCGACACCCGGGTCCCCAGTGGCTCCAGACACAGCCTTTGCCCCCGGGGAGGGGGAAGGGGAACCAGCGCCGGCTCGGCAGGGCCCTGCACGGCCTCCTCTTCCTGGGAAGGCGAATGCGCGGTCACTGGAGCCTGCCCACGGCAAGGCAGACAGGCAGCTGCCGGCGCCGGCCCAGATTACAGGGGACGTCAGACGGGCGGTTGTGGCCGTGTAACTGCGGTCGCAGCTCCCGCCCAGTCCTAATTGCCTGCCACTCCAAAGAAACCACGAGGTCCTCCGCTCGGACGCTGCAGGGGCGGGCAGCCCTGGCCCAGGTGTGCCCCTGGCCCTGCACAGGGACGCGGCTCCGACAGGGCAGGAGCCACACTGGCTCCCGCACGCTGTCCCCAGCACCCCAGCCCCCCAGCCTGAGGTTATGGCGGGGAGGCTCTGGGCTCCGGCTGCAGCCACCGGGACGCGCGAGCTGGCACCTAGAAGCCCATTTCCTGAGCACGGTCTGGAGACACCGCGGAGACTCCAGCCACGCCGGGCGGGCCCTCGGGCCGGGCCTGGAGTCCGCCTCCGGGCTCAACTGGACGCCGGCGCAGACACGGGCGAGGCGCGTCCTGCCCCGCGGCAGCCGACCTAGAGGGGCGTCCTTTCTGCAAAGGGCCTGCCCTCCCGGGTGACCCTCGCCCTCCTCGGAGGTCGGGCGTCCCGGGCGCCCCGGAGAGGGCTGGGGGACTCGCGGAGGGGACGAGGCCGAAAGGGCCGGCGCGGGCAGACGGGGGCGGGGGCGCGCAAGAGGGAC